TGYKSWGAGACACAAAAATGATGCAAGTCGTCGCTAGATATATCGTATATTTTTTAGATACAGAAAATTATGTAATATCAAAATAATAAATAATGGTAATCATAACCAAATCTCATGCGTTTTTTTTTTTGTGTGTGAGGCATTATATTCTGGGGGGGCCAGGCCCCCCCAAAAAATCTAGTGGGGGGGCCAGTGCCCCCCCGGCCCCCCCGCTTCCGCCGCCCCTGGACCCTGACTTGTAACTTGACATTAGAATTGTATACATACTTGATATAATATCTGACACCATCAGGAGTATATGCTTCTTCCCAACCAAATGGAAGTGCTGAAAAATGAACAATAGCAAGATCATGTTACTTTTTGAAACAAATGTATAAAAAAAAAAAAAAACAATTCCAAATCGACCTGCAATCTCTGAGACCAAAGGCAGAGGGGCCAAGGGGTCAGGATTTCCCTCTGTGGCAACAAAATGGCAGCTTTTTAGAATTTATACACTGACTTTTATATTGCTTTATTTTCATGTTTCATAAAAATAAAACAAAAATAAAACGTAATGTCGTGTAGGTCTTTCGGGTGCTCAAGCAAAATGGCGTTTTTTTTTTGTTTTACTCCCTTCCACTTTCAGAAAATCCTGGCTATGGAAAGATGTATATCATGTAAACTTACGTTCTTCTTCAATGAGTGCTTTTACTGACTTAACAACATCTCTTGCTTCTTTTGCAAGGGTATTTGGGTTATGCTTGGCATGCCGAGCAAGATATGATGGTGGGCGAGCACTGCCTGATGCATCCTTTCTTGCAGGCTCCCCTCTTCCCCTTTGCTGATGCCTAAACAAAAAACAAAGGTAAGGAATCAAATGCAGCTTAACAAAACAGGAAAGTAATTGTTCATCCATCTATTTAACAAAACTAATGCAGAAATATTGCAGTTAGTTGTTACTACTTACATCCCAGGGCTGTTTTGCGAAAGGACATCGTGAACGAGCTGAAAGAAAGATAAACCTTTGTCATAAACTCGGTGTATTTCCTTCTCGTGCACGAATTAACGTTCACATACCTCTGCAAAGCGAATTAATTTTTCCATAGACACTTCGTATGTTCGTTTACTAACTTCAGCCTTCCGAAGTTGACAGCCCAGAACTACAAGTCGTTTTTGAAGTTCTTCCAATTCTTTCTGTGAAGTTCAAAGGAAAATCTATTAAATATCTTTGAACCAAATCGTTAGCAGAAAGAAAAAGCAGGATTTTTGATGTTATACATCCGATTTGCGCAGTTTGCTATTGAAGGTGCGCGCAATCTCTGAAGTGCGTTCTGCAACCACATTTCTGATCAAAAACATATTATTTTAAAACGTTAATTAATTTTTTTTGCGCGCATTTGGTAAATTCCCGTGTTATTAAAATATGACATTTTCGCCCGTTCATTGTAGTAGAGACTGCGCAGTTATTTCGCGATTCTGAGGAGCTGTCAATAAGTCGGAACTTACAGGATCAGGCGTTTTCTGGGAGTTTTTCAGTTTTAAGTCATCGACTTCATGTTCAAGAAGCTTAATAATCTATGAGAGAAGAAAAGCCCTCGAGTTAGATTTACGAACTTCAAAATGAAAATAATAGAGTTTGGATTGAAGACATTAGAGGAGCTGTGTTATTTTGGTACCTCTTCGTAATCTTGCTCCACACTTTTTGATGCTTCTTGCGCCTGTGAAGCCAAATGAATCCTATTCTGCAGTGAATGACTTTCATCAAGTAACGCTTGGGTTTCCTGGAATACGAAGTTGGTCAATTAAGAGATGCACTGCAAAAGTAAATAAACAAACAAGTAGGTAATTACATAAATGTTTCAAACGAAATTTAATCTCTACCCGTCGAGTTTTCATAACTTCTTCTGAAGATTCCTGGCACTCTTGTTCCTTTCTTTTCAACGCTTTTCTGAGATGTTGCACCTCTCTAAGCGCCTCATCTCTTTCTCGACGAAGTCTCTCGACATCTTCTGATGCCTTCTTTGCTGCTGCTTCTGCTTCTGAGGAYGACTGTTGAGACTCTTGAGACTGTTGAGACTCTAACTGAATCTGCAAAAATGTATAATTACATATGTCGCATCTGTGAGATAAGGCATAACTAGTTATGAACTTCTGGTCACAGATATGCCCAATCCTTAGTTTTCTCTTGCATGGTTGAATGATTGCATGACTGCATGATTTCGTAGACCCTCAAAACCTATCCCTTCATCTTTTTTCATACCTTTCTTTCCATGGCATTGATGTCCTGGATGGCAAACTGAAAAGCGGAAGTATTTAAATGGGATTCATTTAACTTGACAGCGAAAACTTGTCTTGCAGTATTTACGAAATCTGTGAAAAGAATGTAAACTATCTCAACGAGAGGAAAAAGTGCACGTGACTATCAATAAGAAGAAAAAAAGAATTCCTCTATTTGAGGCATTTTTTTCCCTTGAGGAGAGATAAGGAATATCAAATTTTACTACAGTTTACCTCCATACGTCGTACAACCATTATGGTCGATTGGTAGCCTGGATCGCAGAATTCTCTGCTGTTCTTCTGTCGGTTCAAATCCTAAATATCTTAACGCCTATAAAAACATGAAGTGGATCAATTGGCAGGATAGGAATAAAACCCAAACAAAACAAAACCAAAAAAAGATACTTACTACTTCTAGTTTTTCCACTTTTAGTTTCGTATATGGATCGAGTGATAGTTTCCTAGTACTTCTGTCAATTCTGTTTCTTCTTTGTCGTTGGGAAAGCGACTGTGCTGCTGATTCTGGTGAACTTCGTTGAATACCATTGCATGGAGAAGTTTGTTGACTGACGGCTGGAGGTGGATATTGCTCAGACACACGTCTGAGTGCTTCTAAATCTTGTTGTAAGTAAAATGGCACTGAGGATGGCTGTAGCGTGGGTGCTATGGGACTTATTTGGATTGATCCATTACCTAATTGATGCTGGCCATGAGATGATGTTGGATGCATGCCTGGAACAAATCCTGAAGGGAAAATTAAGAGACGATTTATATCGACCCCGACATCAAAAATGAGGAGTGGGAAGAAACGAAAAGAGAAATTTCTTTTGCACAGTTCACTAAAAAGGTTATATATGAGTAATTATGTCTGGAAAACAAAACATCTATACATACGCAGTAATTTGTCAACAGAATTCAGTTTATTGTAAACCCACTTTTCATTTCCTAGGCTGAAGCTAAACCGTGAAACGTCAAACGCAGATGGAAGTATTACATGGATTGCTTTCGAAGAAACTTTACATGACTTTTTCGTGATTTCCCTTACATACGAACAAAACTTATATATTATATATATATTTCTAATTTTAATGTTATATTATATATCTTCGTTTTAATTTGGATTAAAGTTTTCTCAGATAATCAGATAAACCATCAAATATCTTGGTGAAATAGCTGTAAAATGCTAAAAAATATTGTCCGAATCACGGAGTTGTTTTTTGGCGCGAAATCTTTTTGGCGCCATTTTTCGATTCCTACGCGTGCGTCAAAAAGCGCGCCTTTTCGTATCCACTTTTCTTTTTTCAGTCTTCAAGATTTTCTTTGAGAAAATGCTCGAGAAAAAACGGCAGAGAAAAGAAACAAGGGCTGAAAAATAGCAATTAAGATATCTTGAACATCATATTTAGTTTACAAGCATAGTTTATAGTTTAGTTAACGTTTTTGCATTTTTATTTGCAAAAAAAAAACAAAAAACAAAAGACCGTACAAAAACGCAAAACTACAAACGTACGAGGGATAAAGCCATTATCAAATTAAATTCATATATAAATATCTTAGAATGTACAAATCTGTACGAATATAAGTCGAGCTTTGTAAAGATTTAAGCTTACCGAAAATGAGTCATCTTTCTTACCATTTATTTGGCCTTGAGTAGAGTAAGCCATTGAAAGTGGATGCCCATTCGGTAATCCATTCATATGTGAAGTAGGAGTTGAAGACAATGTTGGATAAAAGCCATTGTTAACGTGAGGGGGAAGGCTTGCGGTACTATGCGCAAAGTGCTGTTGGTGAAGTCCACTCTGAACATGACTCAGGGACTGAGGAGGCATAGACAGTTGGGTAGTTATGGGTGTTTGGTTACTAGAGTAAACAGGCATTCCATTAGCGAYAAAGGGAGATGATCTTGGAACTCCAGATGGGTGCATTTCACCAGAACTTCCTGATGTCTGCAACATTTCATTCAACTCAGAATCTGTATTACTTAAATCTGCACCATTATCTGGTGATGAACGGCTTGACAAAGGTGGTGATTCTAGTTGGTTGTTACCCTCAGCATAATGACTTGATCCAGGGCTACTTCCATTCACTAAATGATTTGGTGGACTGTATTGGCCAAGCGTGCTGTGTCCTCCTCGGATAAAAGCAATCTCTATTTCAGTTATGTCTTTCCTGTAAACAGATAAAAAAAATTAATTATTTCTGTGATAATAGATATTAGCAAGAATGAGAATACTTTAAAAACTAAATTCCAAAAGAAGTCAGCTTCATTTTTCAATCATTCCCAATGATGCTAATCCTGACTTCAGCTTTAATTGATACAAAATGAATTATTTCTAGGCCAGGTGTCATCAGAATATAATAATTCTAATTTTAAGATAAAAAACATCAAGAACATAACATTACAATTTTTTTACAAAAAAATCCTTTAAAGGACAGGATGAAGAGAGGACAAGAGGATGAGGTGTGAGCTAAAATTCATTGTCACTCAAATTAAATGGATAATGGATAATGGATAAAGATGCTTCAAGACTCTTAATGAGACAATTAGAATGGAGTTTTGAGATATTCAAGTATTAATGTCTTTTCTATTAGCATTAACATGTAAAGTTAAGGATGTGTAAAAACTATCAATTATTCATGGCAGTTCCCTGAAGGTCCAAGTGAGAATTAAAAGATAYCAAACTGAAACTAAAAAGGATTATTATAAAACTAGAAAATCTGTTTTAGCCCTCATAATTTTTTGCAATTGAATTTAGAAAGTAATCATGGAGAGAGAAGTATGTGTGTGAACAACTATATTACTGTCATATTTATATAAGCACTTCATAAATACAAATTCTCTCTGAAATTTCTAGTGTAACAGTTACAGATTTTAATAATTATCCCTTGTTATAATGGATTCAAATATTTTTTAAACTGTCACGACAAGATTTTCTGGAGATTCTCATCTAGCGACTCCAATAACTATACTGAAGTAACCTCATTGTTTGCAAGGGGTTTCCTTGGAAGGTATTTGTTCTCATTAAATATTTAGTGACTCCTCACATATTACCAAACAAACTACAAAAACCCACAGCAACCTATTGTCCTAGATTTATTTTGGATAATAGCAAACTAAAAAGCAACTTTTTTGATCACAGCTCTTGATACGAAAATACTGCTACTAGAGTGCAAACAATATATCCGTGAAACACTAATTACTAAATTGTTCAAAATAGTGCTAGTTAAACAAAAGAAAACAATAAAATTAGCATAAAATAGTGTAAGTTAGTATTACTAATATTTCACGGATATATATTGTTTGCACTCTACCATTAAGTAATTAAGTAACATAAGATTTCTGTTTCACCTGGTAGTACAAGGCTTATTAATTCAATTCAATTACAAGCTAGTTCCAAAAATAATTGAGAACTCTTAATATTCTAAGTTACAAAAACTCTATTCAAATCATATTTAACTGGAAATGATATTATTAATATCATCCAAGAAAGCGAATGTGACTGAGACTTTGAAGATTTATACCCTTTCATCTCTCTACTTAGAAATAAAATAATATTATTTTTTAAAATCTCTCTACTTAGAAGTATTATTATAGTGTAATTTATCAATATAAGGAAGAATTCTTAAATATGTTTGTGATAAATTAAATTCCAGCAATTAGAATCATCTGGAAACATCCTTCTGGATACATAAAAGTTCTATAAATTTGATATTGACAATCAAGCTTCCTAAAATTTGAAGCATGAAGATCAATAAACAATTTAAAACATTAGATGGAAAAAGAACTATTATATACTATTTTCATATTCAATTTAATGGCAAATATTCAAAAAAATATTAAGTAGTGAACTAACCTGAGTTTTAAACGAGTTAGCAAAGATTTTGCCTGTTCATGAGTAACTCCTACATATGTCTCCCCATTGACTGTTACAAGTTGGTCTCCTTGCTGCAATCTGTTATCCTATAAATTTTATGCCAAATAGTTGTTAAAATTTCCTGACTAGTTCTTGGTAAAAAGAAAACATTGTGGAAGAAGAAAAGAACATGAATTTTATGATGAGGCTAGCCCACAGTGCAGGTACCAGTAATGTAAACAATATCCTTTGCCTTCAAAATGCAAATTATTCAAATCATCCCCAATGCAATAATCCAGATTTGAAAAATTAATATCACCCTTTAGGTGGTCAATTTCTATAATTTATCAATTTTGATATCTTAATAATGATAATCATAATAATCATAATAATAATAACACTATGACTACGGACTCACCATATTATCCAATGAAAATTCAATAAATTGTCTTTTTAATATGTATAACAGGAGTTGATCAAAGTATTATTTAGGACATGGAGGTGGGGAAGGGGTGAAGTGGTTGGCTGTCACAAAAATGCTCAGATTATGTCAATTATTATCGAGAAAGAGTTTGCCAAGCCTCTGATAAATATTTTCAAGATTATTTGTAGCATGAGAAATTAAGTAGTAGACTATGCACTGTAATTCAAGTTATTAAGAATGTCCCTCTTACCTTTTGAGCATCTCCACCATCAATCAAGTTGTCAACATAAATATGAGGTCCTTCAGATCTATTTGTACCACCAACAATGCACAACCCTAGTCCTGTAGTTATAGGGATTCTTATTACTTGTAGCTCACCAGGACTATCAAAGTTAGGTGAAGGAGTACTTGAGTGTCGATCAGTTGGTAGACCAGAGTCAATAGTCACCTCCGAGTCACTCTGCAATTCTGTTCCTGCATGTTTTGGGGAGAATTTATTTGCATGGGAATTGTCTCCATTCATTTGATGTGAAAACGGAATATTAGAAGCACCATTCCAAGAGCTAGTGCTAGGCACTGTCCCAAGATTTAGTTGAAACATGTCCCTACTTCTTTGGTATGGTGGTGGATCTACTGGAGCTGTAAAAAAATAATTCAAATAAGAATTAATCTACAGTGAGTAACATGAACAGCTTAAACAATTATATTGACTGCCAGGCTAATGCCATAGTTACTAGCATTTCAATTTCAAAGGTTGGATTTAAGACATACCAGGATTTCGTAGTTCTGCAGTAGATGATAAGTCTACAGCTTGCATTCTTTGTAAGCTCGGTGGTGGTCTGTCAAGAGAGTTTGATGGAGACCAGTTTGGGCTTCCATGTCTTCCTAATGCCAATGGTGACATTCTTCCTGCACTCATGACCCAAGATCTTTTTCCTATTTAAAATATAATTAGGTCTTTAATCAAAAATAATAGGAAAAATGCAATTCCAGATTATTCTATGTACTCTCAATAAAAACTCAATAAGCAATAATCGATTTCCAGATATATATCACAATTGAAGAAAAAATAGAAATACCCATTGTTGGTGAAGGTGTTGAAGCCCTTGAACTCCCCCTACTACCACTTCTAATAAGATCAAAAGCTCCTGGACCATTAAGCATACCAAAGCCATTGCCATTCAAAGCTGCCATTAACGCTGTAAAGTCTTCCCTGTTATGAAAAAGAATACACATTACAGCACTTTTCCATCCAAATATTTTAATGCATGCAATTTGAACATAACATTCAAATTTTTACCAAAATTGCAAAAAAACAAATCTTGATCAAGTAAAGACTTAGTAGTAACTAGTATATGAATGTGCATTTACTTAAAAGCAGCATTGTCTTTTTTTTAAAACATCATTTTACTTACCTTGCTTCACCATCTCTGCTGATTAACAACTTAACATTATTGGTCTCTGCAGCATTTCTGAGTAAGGATATTGCCCTTATAATAAAAAAGAGTGATTACCTTAAATAAATTAAACCAGATCAATAAATGATAACTACTTTATATTCTATACAATATTGATAGATTATACTTGGTATTCTAAATCACTAGTACTTAGAATACCAATCGTTAGCATAATAATATAGTCCATACTTGTCATTAGAAATTCCTAACATAGACTCTCCATTAACTTCTAATAGTTGATCTCCTTCCCTTAAGTGACCTGAAGATAAACAACAATATATATCAGTGCACACGATAATAGAAAAGTGATCAATGCAAAATGCAGGAAAACAGCTTATGGCAGTTTTTTCTTCATTTAATAAATAGACCACTTGCAACACATTGGAATGCAGCTCAATTTGGAGGACATGACAATGGGTTTCCACAATTCTCATGACGTTGAAATTCTTTTGTTTTGTCCTCCAAATTGAGCTGCTTTGACAGCACATGCAAGGGGTGCATGTCACCTATATACATACTTGATAGCTTTTTAGTTATTTTAGGTGGCATTGTACCTTTATTTTCTTTTTCTCTTTAGTGTGTAATTATAATATATCTACATCTCTAAATGGTACAATTACTATGTGGAAACAGTAACCAGGACCACTTGCATAAAACTTACCAATCACATAGCAGTAAACTAGACAGAGATTTAATTGATAACAGTTTTAGCCAATCAGATTATCATGTTGTCACGCTCTTATTATATTGATGTGCTATCTGATTGACTAGTTTAAAATATTGAACTTAAGTGGCAATATTGCTTAATGATACTAATTATTTATCAAAGTGGTCCTGGTTGGAATATCCACAAAGTAACTGTTGTTTTTACCTTCTGCTTCTGCTCTACCTCCAGCTAAAATTTTCTTCACAAAAATTCCATAATCTCCACCTCCAACTGTACTTTTACCACCTACAATCTTTATACCTGGGGTAAGAAAAAGTAAATAATATCCTTTTTGTAAAACTACTGATTAAGTAATAAAGACACCATCAATATTGCTCCCAAACAGTCAGACTTTAATTTGCAATTATTAGTCCTAGAGCCCAAATGGAGTATGAGTCAATAGCCCATGAGGCCAAAGGCTGAATGCATGGGCTATTGACTCATTATAGGCCATGAGGGCGAGAAGACTTATTGTTTTAGTCAAATACAACAAGTCAGTTGAATAGATCCATATAACTTATAGCCAACTAGCAGCTCATATAATCAGAATGCAGCATGGATGATAGACCGCTAGTTGGATTTGACTAATATGATATGGCCCTTAGTGCATGGACCATCAAATCAATGTCCCCCTAAGTGGGATGGGAGAATATTGATTTAAAAAAATTAATTGTTATTAAAAGGCATCAAGTTCAAAAGGTTTACACTCACCTAGGCCACTTGTTTTGCAGTTTCTCACAATGATTGTATCAGTATCCCGCATATTTCTAAACTCAACTGTGTGACTAAAATAAAGATTGTGATATATATATATTTGCAATTACATTATAGTTCGATGAACCGAAAGAAAAAAATACAGCTCCTAATGATTGGGTTCATACTTGTAATTTAGGGGTTCACATGAACTCTCTGAAATCCACCGCTCATTTGATTTGACCAGCATTTCAGATCATAAACAATGAATTATACAATATAAATTATCATATATAAATGCATATATAAATCTGTCACTCAAAATGCATTAATTTTTGCTGTGATTCCCTGAGTCACATGCGACCAACTGAGACCTTAAATCGTAAACAAAAAATAAAAATTGAGTTTTGGTAGACATCAATCAAAGGGGTTTCTTAAAGATGTATATGGATTCCGAATTTCAAACGCTTGACTGCAATTCCTGGTGTAGAAAGCAATAGAAATGATATAAACCCTTTTGTTCAACATCCACCAAAACTCAATTTTTCGTTTGCGATGAAGGTTTAGTTGGTTGCGTGTAACTGGGAATCACAGTAAATCACTGAATACAAGGTGGTGCAATTCATTTTGACTGACCTACCAAGGTTGCTGATAGATTTTTTAAATGCGAGCATTAATAATCAATGTTATATTCAATGATCATTTTTCATAACTTTTTGAAATAATAAAACAGCAGCATTTAACAATACTAATYAACACTATATTCTATTTAATCATAAATTAAATAATAAGCTGTCATGCTTACTTAGGACTTAAAGACTCTGTGGTAACCACAGATAAGCTTCCCATATTCATCTTTTTTTCTTCATTTTATTCTGTAGATAAAAAAATGGATAGCAAAAGTAAAGAGATCAATCAGAATTAAATAATAAATTATAGTAGGGGTCCTGCATCTAGACCCACAAAAATGTAAATAAATGTTAAAAAAGCAATTTTTATGAATAGCGTTATGCTAAAAATAAGTTGGCTAAAATATGGATGTTTATTATTGACACGGGTAAAAATTCACCACAATATTACTTGTAACTTGAGCTCAAAAACTGAGCTCACATTTGTATTTGTCAATAAAAATCGTAATGAAACAAGTACATTATAATCTCATAGAACGATGTATAGCATACTTCGATTTATAGAAATATATTTATCTACATATACGAAACTACTAAAAGAGATTTAGTTCCCGTGAAGACAGATGATATGTGCCAAAGAATACCATGCCGGAATTCATCAAAAATCTAATTTTAAGATGCTAAACACCATTCCCCAGCTGTAAGACTACCAATTTGTGTAAAAGATAATAATTTTAGTCAAGCTTTTTACGTGATTGGTAAATACAGACAACTTATAACCGACTGACAACTGACAACGGGACAAACTTGATGCTGTATTACCATTGGAAACGGCGACGCTTCGCTCGAAATAACTCAAGAGTTCTATTCTAAGCACGAAACTTTTTACCTTTTGATAGATCTCAGTCAACTAAATGCTTTTCTGAGCCATTAGAAGTCGAAAGATATCAAGTACAAATTAAGAATTGATTAATAAAAACATTTTCTTGAGCGGTAAAGAACTTGCTGGCTCACACCTCCATGTAAGTCGCCATTATGGTTTAGAATACCAGCCAATCAGAAGAGTGCTATGGGATTACCATTCGAATGCAAAACGATTGAATTCGCGTGTCCAAGAGAAATTGACAACAACTTTTGAAATTGACAATCACAACTTGCCATAGAACGATCACAAACCACAGGAGATGAAACAAGAGCAATTCCGCCGGCGATATATACATTAATCTCAGGATTCAATCCTTTGTAAACAACATTTAGAACGCTGTAGCTGCATCAAAAGTAATTTGGTTACGAAATGTAAACAAATGCCTAGAAGTCGAAACAAGCTTGTTTTAGCAGTATAAACCACTTATGGAAGTATTTTCAAAACGCATAAAATAAAGATTACGCTTTACTCTTCATTTCCGTGTGAGAAAATGTGCGAACATTTAGATGAGTACCGTAATCCTCAGGAAATCTGATGTACTATGACTGTGAATCCTCGAAGTCGGACACGTATAATATACAAAGAGTCTTTATGATTAAATGAGTTACTTACGCAGTCGCCGACCTATTTTACATCCAAAAAATACAAGAAATTTGAAAAGCACATCAAGTTTTAGATGAGGTTCAAGAATAATGTATGACAGGTGATATTAATTGTATCATTATGTCAAAAATGGTTGTCATACAACCACCACTCTACGAAATTGAAATATTCTAGACATGTATGTACAGTCGTTCTAGTTGTCTATAAAAAGAAGACATGTTCTTAGTTCAGTAAAGTTTGAATGCCAATAGCTCGCTTGGTTAGCGTTTCTTTTTTCCGAATTAAAAAAAGGAAAAAGCTAGGACAATCTCGACACGTTTTGATGATGTAACAGGAAAAAATCGAAATATAATGAAAATGTTAAACCTGATACTATTGTTTTTAAAGTGCGGTTAAACAACTTGCGGGTTCAAGAAGCAAATCTTCGTTTATAACGACATCGAGATCTTTAATGGTAGTACTCTATAAGCTTCAGTTGACCCAGATCGATTATTAAGCTTTCAAACAAAGTCGTTAACTGTACTTACCTTTGTACACATTGCATTTGCTTCTAGAGACTCATCTGCGAAGACCATGCGATCCAAGTCGTTTATTGTCTCGAACAGCTGGTTGCTAATACCCAAAATGGAATATCCTCTGGTGTTATGTTGAGTTAACTGTAAGTGACAGTAAAGTGTTTTGAATGCGTCTGCATGGACTGGCAAAATACTAGCATGCCTTTGGGAATACGTGTCGTGCTTTAACTAATTGAGCTACGTTACTTCTATAGCAACCAAAAAATTGGAATAATAATTAAGTTTACATAATTTAGCCAATTGGATGGCTTGATTTGACGTTTTGTTGCCCACACTTTTTTGAAACTATTAAAATACCTTTCCCATTTCGTGTGTACTTCTCATTAATAAGACAAGYGAACCTAGAATACTTTATTTATTTATTTATATTATTTTTTACTATAGTTCTTATTATACAGAGCATCTTTGTAAATCAGTCATTACTGAAGGATTTCTGTGTCAAATAAAGTTTATTATTATTATCATTATCATTGTTATTATTAT